CATTTTTATTGATGATACTGCTCTTGTAGTTGTTAGTATTTTGCTAAAACTAAAAAACATTTTTAAAATATTTCTGATGTTAGTATGATGATTCTGAAATTTGATACTTTGTCTATAATGTTATAGGGGTTTTCTTCCAAGTGTCAAATTCTTGACCACACCATTTTCATAGAAAATAGGTTTCTTCCAGAATCCTTTTATCTGAATTTTTAAAAAGAATACGATTACTCAATTGATTTACCTTTTAGAATCACCTCCCAGGTTCCTAAAAGAGACTTTCTCAATTTCTTATTCATAAGACATGCATGAATTAGTAAAAAAGACTAATTAATTAGTCATTAATAACACAAGAATGCCCAGCTAGTTAGAATGTGCATCTCTCTCCACTTCTAAACATACAATTATACAAAGATACATTTTCTTATTTTATAGTTACAGTCATCATGCCTGTAATGTCACCATTTTTAAGTCTGGGATGATAATGTATGTTATCATTGGGCCCTAACTTTTTACTTTTCAGAAAGGCCCTCAAAATGATTTTATTTCAAACCTTCGGTCATTAGAGTATTTTGGTGCATATCAACTTCATAGTTTTGTTTCTAACTAAAACATAGGAAAAATATAGAAATATTCATTTTGTATTGGCTTATCTATGTATACTGTCTGAAGTTATGTAGATAGAGCCAGTTTATTGGTAATAAATAATATTTAACCTAGTATTAGTAGTTGGGTTTTGTTTTAAAATTAAGCATGAGATTGATATTTGTACTCTTTTTTTCCACTGTAACAAAATTATTTAAGTCTTCCTCATTTCTGGCTGTCAGATTGATATTATCACATAAGTGAGATTATTGATACTTCTCCAGCTATTTTAATTCCAATTTCCTTTAGTCCTATATTGTTCATATGTTCTGCATATAAGTTAAACCAATTCAGTGACAGTATACAACCATGGCACTCTACATTCCCAACCCTAAACTATTTAGTTGTGTCATTTTTTTTTAATTCTATTCTTCATTATCATCCAAATTCTTCAATAGGCAGATGAGTATCTATGTTTTTAAATGTAATTCATAATTTGTTGTGTTTTATTCAGTCTATTTTTGCTTTATTGATTATTGAAAGGCTTTTTGAATGTCCTTTTAGAATTATGTTGCTTTTCCATCTAATGTTAATGATGTCATCTTATTTATTTATTTATTCATTTATTTATCTATCATCTATCTATCTATCTATCTATCTATCTATCTATCTATCTATCTATCTATCTATCTATCTATCTATCATCAAATTTCTATACCGCCCTACTCCCGGAGGACTCAGGACAGTGAACAGCCAAGGTAAAATACAGATAATACAAACATTAAAAGTCCCTTAAAATTATTAAATATTTTGGCTGAAACACAGATTAAAATACCCAATTTATAAAACAAATCAAACGGTTTAAAAATTTAAAAGGGAGAGTTAGGCCAGGCCAGCCTGCTGAAATAAAAAAGTTTTGAGAGCACGACAAAACGTGCGCAGATCCGGGATCCTCCGTATCTCTGGGGGAAGCTCGTTCCAGATGGTAGGTGCCCCCACAGAGAAGGCTCTCCCCTGGGGGCCGCCAGTCGACACTGTTTGGCCGATGGCATTCTGAGAAGCCCCTCTCTATAGGAGCGTACTGGTCGGTGAGAGGCTACTGGTAGCAGAAGGTGGTCTCGTAAATACCCCGGTCCGATGCCATGGAGCACTCTAAAGGTGGTAACCAAAACCTTGAAGCGCACCCGGAAGACCACTGGGAGCCAGTGCAGCTCGCGCAGGAGGGGGGTCACATGGGAGCGCCACGCCGCTCCCATAACCACCCACGCGGCCGCGTTCTGGACCAGCTGGAGCCTCTGGGTGCTCCTCAAGGGGAGCCCCATGTAGAGATCATTGCAGTAGTCCAGGTGGGAAGTAACGAGAGCATGAGTGACCGTATTTAACGAGTCCTGATCCAAAAAGGGACGCAACTGGCGAATCAGGCGGACCTGATAAAAAGTCCCCCTGGCCACGGCCGTCAAGTGCTCTTCCAAAGACAGCCGTGAGTCCAGGAGGACACCCAAGTTGCGAGCCCTCTCCGTGGGGGCCAATGACTCGCCCTCAATAGTCAGTGATGGCACCAACTGACTATATCGGGATGTCGGAAACCACAGCCACTTGGTCTTGGATGGGTTGAGCCTGAGTCTGTTTCTCCCCATCCAGATCCGCACAGCCTCCAGGCACCGGGACATCACTTCAAGGGCATCGTTGGGGTGGTCCGGGGTGGAGATGTACAGCTGAGTGTCGTCAGCGTACTTATGGTACTTCACCCCGAAACCATGATCTCACCCAGCGGCTTCACATAAATGTTGAACAGAAGAGGCGAGAGGACCGATCCTTGTGGCACCCCACATACAAGGGGCCTCGGGGTCGACCTCTGCCCCCCAGTCAACACGGACTGCGACCGGTCAGAGAGAAAGGAGGAGAACCACCGTAGGACGGTGCCCCCCACCCCTAAGTCCTCTAGCCGGTGCAGCATGATACCATGGTCGATGGTATCAAAAGCCGCTGAGAGGTCTAATAGGACTAGGACAGAGGAACAACCCCTGTCCCGAGCCCTCCAGAGATCATCAACCAACGCGACATTTCCATGCTGTACCCAGGCCTGAAGCCCGACTGGAACGGATCCAGATACGACAATTCATCCAGGTACTGAGGGAGCTGTCGTGCTACCACACCCTCAACAACCTTCGCAACGAAGCGAATGTTGGAGACTGGATGGTAATTTGCCAACACTGCCGGGTCCAAGGAAGGCTTCTTGAGGAGAGGCCTCACCACCGCCTCTTTCAAGGCGGCGGGGAAGACACCCTCACTCAGAGAAGCATTTATAATCCCCTGGAGCCAGCCTCGTGTAACCTCCCGAGAGGTCAGCACCAGCCAGGAGGGACACGGGTCCAGTAAACATGTGGCTGCGCTCAGTCTGCCCACTATCCTGTCCACGTCTTCAGGCGTCATAGAATCAAACTCTTCCCAGATAATGCTCACAAGACCTGCCTCTGTCCTCCCCCCTGAATCTACCCAGTCAGAGTCCAGGTGTTCCCGAATCTGAGCGATTTTGTCATACAGATACTGTACAAAATCCTCGGCTCTACCCTCCAAGGGGTCCTCCCGCGCTTTCTGGTGGAGCAGGGACCGGGTCACCCTAAACAGGGCAGCCAGGCGATTATCTGATGACGCAATAAGAGTGGCAAAATAGTTATACTTCGCCGCTTTTATCGCCACCAGGTAGGTCTTAATATGAGACCTTATGAGTGTTCGGTCAGATTCAGAATGGCTGGCCTTCCAACCGCTCTCCAGGCGTCTTTTCCGGCACTTCATCTCCCTCAGCTCCTTGGTGAACCAAGGAGCCAGGCGAGATCAGTTCCAGGTCAGAGGCCACAAAGGCACAACCCGATCCAAAGCTCCAGCGGCCACCCTATCCCAGGCAGCCACCAGCTCCTCAGTCGAGCTGTGTGCCAAAGCCTCAGGAAATGGCCCAAGCTCCGTCTGGAACCTATCTGGATCCATCAGGTGCCTGGGGCAGAACCACCTCAACGGTTCCGCCTCCCTGCGGCGGGGTGCGGCGGTTCAAAGGTCAAAGCGAAAGAAGGAGTGATCCAACCATGACAAGGGCTCGATCACTATATCCCCTATCTCAAGATCACTCAACCACTGACCAGAGACAAACACCAGGTCCAGCGTGTTTCCCCCCGTGTGAGTAGGGCCATGAACTAACTGGGTCAGGTCCATGGCCGTCATGGAAGCCATGAACTCCCGAGCCACCTCAGACGCCTCACCGGCGGATGGCAGGTTAAAATCCCCCATGACCATAAGCCTGGGGGTGTCAACTGCCACAGCGCCTATAACGTTAAGAAGCTCGGGCAGGGCTGCCGCTACGTGGCAGGGAGCCAGGTACGTAACCAGCACGCCCATCTGCACCCCATGACCCCACTTCATAAGGAGGGACTCACATCCAGCCGTCTGAGGAACAGTGGCCTCCCTCGGACCAAGACCTTCTCTAATGACAACTGCCAATCACCGCCCCTCCCCTGTGTCCTCGGCTGATGAAATGCACGGAAATCGGGTGGACACATCTCAACGAGGGGGACCCCCCTCCTGACCCAACCAGGTCTCCGTAATACCCGCCAGGTCCGCTCCCCCCTCCTGAACAAGATCACAAATGAGGGGGGCTTTATTTACCACGGACCGGGCATTGCACAGCATCAGCCGAAGGCCCAGGGCCTGAGGGTCTGTGCAACCTGGGGAACGAGAGGAGCATTGGAGGCCAGAGCATGCCACCGCTTGGAGCCAGTGGGCACGCGCTCCCACAACCTGATGTGGCCCCCTGCTCCCGTCATATCTGTCCCTCCCACCCACAGTACTGATGTAATGTCCATCCACAATACAAGCTCTAACCCCCTCCTTGACCCCAGTTCCTGCACCTCTTGTGCCGCGCTCTTCAGCCGGCTCTGGCCTCCTCCCTGACAGGTTCTCTCCCAAACCCACAGAGCCCCCCCTCTCCCAGAAACCTTTAAAATCTTATCTAAAAATTTCCCCAAAAACCCCACAACCCCCTCCTCGCCGCATGCCACCTCTCGGGATTCCAAAATCCGTCATCAAGGTAGGCCCTCGATAGTGAGAAGGGCCAAACCTGCGAGAGGGGGTCTTAAGTATCTTTGCAGTATTTGAAGCCTGGAACCCTCAAGATGTGCACTGTTTCCTGCACTAGAAAAAGGGGAATGGACATTTTCTCCAATTCTGTTTTCTACTACACTGGCCATTGCCATTTATTACAAAGCTGTGGAAAACAATCCAAGGGGAAGAGAATCCAGCAAATTATTATCTCCCCATTTTCTTTTCCCAGGCTTCCCTCCCAGGAATTAGTCTGAATGCAATAATTTATTCAAAATGAATAATTGTTTTTACTAAATCAGACTTAAAATACTCCAGTCTTCTTTAAGTTATTGTTTTCAGTATATTTTAATATTTCTATAATATTTAAGGAGGCTATTCACTTGGAATAAGATGCTAACGAACATCTTAGCTGTCACTCTCATAAACATAAATGTGTGGAGATAGATACATTAAGAAGATACCAGATTAATTATTTTAAATGTGTGCCCTGTGGTATCAAGTTAAAGCTTCTAATATAGTGTTTAGAAATCACGATAATACTCCACGTTGCTGTAAAATGTTGCTTAGAAGAGATCCATATAGTTACTCTTTCAGTTACTCTTTCTTTTGTCTCATAATTCACCTAGCTCCGAAAGAAAATCTTATTAGACTTTACCTATTTTTAACCATTAAAAAACAATAGAGCTATAAAAATTATTAACTGAGGAAAGTATTAGATACATTTCTTCTAAATTAGTTTTTGGTATTGACGACATACCTTTCTTTCAAGCTAAATTATCTAATAACAATCTATTAACTACGTGGAACACTTGGAAATTCAGAGAAATATTGTAGAAGACTCAGATAACTACAGACACCACACCACACCACACCCTCAACTCTGTAGGAAATGTCAAGTTGTGCTAGTGCTTAAATAGGAGGATGGGCAAGTTTGAGGAGTTGTGTAAGAAGTCATAAACATTCTTGCCTAATGTCTACCTCCTGTCATTCACAAATATTTTTGTACTCATCAGTAAGTAGCATAGACATAAGTACATAGTATTCTGACAAAAAAGCGAATGTTATCACAGAAAATGTTTTCCTCTTTTTTAATGCATCCCGTCTCTTTTTGGTCCTTTTGTGCTTTTGTTTCAATATTTGAATATCATACTATCCTGTTTGTCTACTAGAGTCAAATTATGCAAATTAATTTGAGAATGGTATTAGAATGCTATGTATCACTCTTTTTACTCTATCAAATCAAATTCTGCCATTTGTGTTCTGCCTCTATTTCTTATAGATGTTTGCCTGTGGGCCCTTTCCAAGTATAACAATCATCATTTAGAACAATCATCAGTAAAAGAAATGCATTTGTTTTGCATGTTCAACAATGGCTGGTATTTAGATACTGACAGTTTATTGCCACAGTTTTAGCTACAACTCATATAGAGTAAAATTGTCTTGTTTATATATTTCTTCCAAACTAGTTTCAAATGACCAAAATGCAATTTCAGCAGAGAAACTTGTATCATATCATCCCAAAAATACTATACTGAGTTCATCAATAGCATATTCTTCAACAACATGGAAACCTGGGTAGCGTATGCTCCACTTGATTTCTCAGCAGCTTTTGATAACATCAATCATGGATGATGTCTTTCTGGAACAGCTTAGACTGGCAGTAGAGAGTCATAGTGTTGTCCTGCTTTTCCTCCAGTCAATGTTGATGAAGAGAGAGAGATCAAACACTTGACTTCTGATTGTGAGTCCCTCAAGAGTTGGTGCTTTCTCTACTCCTGTTTAACATCTACATGAAACTGCTGGATGAGAACATCCATCACAATGGGATACAATATCATCAATATGCTGATGATATTGAATTATACATCTCTGGCCATGGTGATGCTGCAATCGCCCTTTCTCACTTAATTAAGGCTGTTAAGGTCTGGGTGGGAAGCAACAGTTTAAAACTGAACCCTGATAAGACAGAGTGCTTTTGGATTTGGAGCCTCTTGGTTCTTGAAGAATTACCAACTTTGGTTGTGGATGGGATTCCACTCCCCCGACAGATCTGATACGTAATCCAGAGTTTCTCATGGATTCACAACTCTTGCTCAAGAAGCCATGACCAGATGGGCCTTTGCACAACTGCATATTATGTGCCATTCCTGGACCAATGAATAGAATAGAATTGTTATTGGCATATGCTCTCAATGTACATAAAATAAAAGATACGTTCATCAAGAATCATAAGGTACAACACTGAATGTTAGTCATAGATTAAAATAAGCAATCAGGAAACAATATAAATCGTAAGGATACTAGCAACAAGGTTAGTCATATGGGCCTTTCTCACAATCATCCATGCCCTGTTCATCTCCCATTTGGATTATTGTATTGCGCTCTACAAGGCTCTGCCCTTGAAGAGCATCTGGAAGCTACAGTTAATTCAAAATGCAGCAGCCTGCATGTTTTTTTGCAAGTCAAAATTTGCACATGTCATATTTTCAGGAGCTGCACTGGTTGCCAATTTACTTCTGGATGCAATTCAAGGTGCTGGTTATCACTTTTAAAGTTTGAGTTCTGGATATTTGATGGACTGCAACAGGACATGTTGTGGGTTCCAACTATCACGGAAGTATATTGGTGGGATCTTGGAAAAGGGCCTTCTCTGTGGTAGCTCCCTTATTTTGGAAGATCATTCCTCCAGAGATATGATTGGCCCCCACCTTGTTTATTTTCTGCAAGGCCTAGAAAGCCTAGTTTTGTTAGTGGGCTTGGGGACACCATTTGGAACCAATCAAGTAGATTGTCTGATTCTGTTGTTATCACCACAGAATTGTGAAGGGGAGTTCATTGTGAATTTTAAACTGGATTTGTAATGTTGTTATCTTGCCCAATCACAAATCAAAAGTGAGTTGGTGACAATAAACAAATAAATTAATAAGCGATCTGTTCTTTCTTTACAAAGAAAGCTGATAGTGGCGTGTTTTAATTGCATTTCAAATCCTTAAGATTTTTTCACAGTGGTTTGTGAATATAAAGAGTTTGTTGAATTTCTATAGTCGTCCACTGATCACAAACAGGCATGTATACAATTTAATGATAAGAAAAAACATCGTCTTTCATCCTGCATGCCTTTTCCTACCTTCTTTGCTCGTTTCCCAATCCCACACCTTGCCACTATGGGTATGTGCTGAATACATTAAAGTCAGTGCAACATTTTTCATAAGAACTAATATCTACACATCCCGTAGAATATTTGGGCTAAAATGGTTTGACAATTGGTCCCTAGAGGAAGAATGCATTAAATCGATGGCAAATCTAAAGCACTGTGCATCAGAATTGCAACAAGAAGTGTCCTCTTAATCAGTACTTGTAGAAAAGATTACTAATTTCTGCCATAATAAAGTATCTATCTTTAGAAAGCAGATGTTGCCTAAGTATACTGCCTAAAGTGGTGAAGAAAATTAGCAATTCTTTAATGCTGCAATAAATTTTGTCATCCTTTAAAGCAGTGGTTCTCAACCTGTGGGTCGGGACCCCTTTGGGGGTCGAACAACCCTTTCACAGGGGTCGCCCAAGATCATTGGAAAACACATATTTTCAATGGTTTTAGGAATAATTTTATGGTTGGGGGTCACCACAACATGAGGAACTGTATTAAAGGGTCACGGCATTAGGAAGGTTGAGACCCACTGCTTTAAAGGCTTGTAATTCTCATGTAATGCAAACAATAGACACAGGATGGCAGTGGTTCACCATAAATTAAAATGCTCAAGGTTTGTTTGTTTCCCTTGTATAATGGCTAGTTAAAAAGGAAGTATTAATATTTTTTTAGAATAAAATTTAGAAATTATAAAATTAAAGCCTAAAATATAATTACATTATTTGCTGTAACATTTAGATTCATGAACTGGGAAAATAAGATATACAAGTTAAATCAGTCTCAACTGAGGAATATAATCAAATGTAAGATGAATGCATGAGAATTTCCTCATTATCTGTGGCAGATACACATACCTTCTGTCAGCTCAAGGGCAACACATCAGGCACCACACTGCAAAAGTAGGCAATGCTGGATCCACTTTTTAAAAATTAAAATTCATTAATTAATTTAATGAAATTTCAGTAAGAACTGAAATGGATGCTTTAAGCCACTGAGAGATTTAAGACTAGCATTTTGCCCCTTAATCTAGCTAAACCCAAAAAGAACAAAACGGGGGCAAAAGTGTTGCCTCCTCATTCAGAAGTTGAGTCCCGAGAGCTACAAAATACATGAAGTCTGTGGGATTTTGCATCATTTGTATGAAATCCGAAAACATTCATTGAATTAATGTAGAAATAAAGTTAATGTTAATCTCTTTTCAATGAAAATCAGATGCAGCAAAATTGAATTTTAATGATATTGATTAATTTAACTTCTGAGGATTTTTCAACTTATTATTGTAAACCCTAGTAAAGCCTTCAATTGATGAAATTAGTAAGTGGGGTTTAGTCTTTTGGAATTAAAAGAGAAGTTATTTGTGAAAATCTGTGGCAGAATGAGAAATAGAAAGTTGTCTGATGCTAGATTAGTAATTTATCAAAAATTGGAAGCTGTCTATAAATGGGTTTAGACAAATTTAGCATTTTATATCCATTGTAGGAAAAGCTTGGGGCCTATCTGAAAAAATGAGGATAAACACAATTTCCTTATTTTTTTTAAAACTCTTCTCATATAGGTTACCTTTCGAACAAGAATCTATCATTGCAACATTAATAGTCAAGGAGTGATCTGTCTGGACATATTAAAGGACAACTGGAGTCCAGCATTAACTATTTCTAAAGTTCTTCTTTCAATTTGCTCACTTCTCACAGACTGCAATCCTGGTAAGTTGGGTCAAAATGAGGGATGGGGACAGAGAACAGGATCTATCATAGAGATTGAATGTTGGCCCCATTTCCAGTTTATCCATATGTTAAAGAGGATTAAAGTAAAGCCATGGGGAGTTTTCATATTGATAACTAATACAGGAACATCTTCTACAAGAAGAGTGGCTTCCCTCTAGCATTACATTCTTTTGAGTATTTAAGGATGTATTGAGCAGGAGGCGGCAACAGTACCGCCTCTTGATCATTTTTTTTTTTATAGAATTGGAAATATTTTCTTTTAACTGGAAGTGATGGAATAGAAATGTTAGCACATACATTTCTGCATTACAGTTGCTTTCCATAGGTCTCTTTATCATCACTGCAAAAGTCATTCACTGGCCAGCCTTCTTTTCTGTGTCCAGTCTAATGCAGTATTAGGCTATTCTGTTAACCCGTAAGTTTTCCTGCACTGTTCTAGCTGCTTCTTGCTAAGGGCCCATCTCCAAAACACAATACACAAGGAAAATTAAATCAAATGTGTCTAAAAGCTACGCACGCAGTCCTCGCTTAATCGGGGTAATTTGAATTGGCAACTTCATAGTTGTAAAGCGTGTCATATGATCATGCCAACTTATAATGGTAGTTGTGGCAGTCCCAGTTGCCATTGTTACGTGAATCACACACAATTGCAGCATGTAATCATTGCCAATTGCAACCTTCTGCCAATTTCCCCATTGGTTTTGCTTGTCAGAAGCCAGCAGTGAATATTGCAAATGGCAATCATGTGACTGTCACAATTGTAAACTGGCTACCAACTTCCACATCTATGGGGAGCAATCATAAGTCCCCTTATTCATCTATGTTATAACTTTGAGTGGTCCCTAAATTAGGATTATTTATACTATTTTAAAGAACAGCAAATTAAAAAAAAATCCTCAAACAGAATTGTTATTGGTTAGAATATCATGTACATTATTATCGCATTGACATAACTTACATAAACTTTTTAAAACCTACAAAATGAATTTTTTCAAAATCCACTGATGGAAAAGTAAACCTATCATTTCCACAAAATAGTAAGTGGAATATCCCCATTGATGGTGTTTAGTGACTGAAGGATTACAGGCTTTGATTGCTTTGTGAAAGTCAACATTATCTCCAGGAGGGTTTGGTGTTGTGAGACATATTTTAAGGGATTGTACAGTATCAATGGAAACACCAGTTGTCCAGCAAGACCCATTGTTATAGTAGGTCTTTGATGTGCATGGGCCTAACAGATGCAGTGTTGTTAACAATGCCTGCAGTTTCAGCAAGCATGGCTATTGTTGAAAAAGCACTGTGAAGTCTAAAAAAATAAAGGTTGGGACTTCCACTTTACCAACATCTGGAGGACCACAAATTCCCCTTCTCATTCTTAGCCTGAATGGAAAATATACTTAAATTCTAAAACTGTAAAGCTACACAAGTATTTTTCATTAAAGCAGTGTTCCAAGAGTCCTCATATCTGATCTATTACATGTATTATCTCTTCCCCTAACATCAATAATTAGCTGGAAATTGTTTTATTTTGCAGCTGATCCCCTTGTTGGAAGTATTGCAACTCAGTATATGACTAACAGAGCAGAGCACGACAGAATGGCCAGACAGTGGACCAAGAGATATGCAACATAAACTGGATTTTTGCCAGACCTTTGTGTTAAATCATCTGTGACGGAAACAGCTGCTTATGATTTTGAAGGGGTGGGACAGGGAAAGGGAGAAACTGAAAAAGAGTAGGGTATTTCTATAACAGAATTTATTCAGTCTTTTATTTCCTGAGATTTTGTTGTTGTTACTTAAGGTATCTTGCTACAGTGGACAGCTTAGAATGGGAATAGCATATTTTAAGACTGTCATTAGTTCAACAAATGTAGCTCTGCTACAGCACCAAGGAGAATGTAAACTAACCTGACAATTGGATGAGGGTGGGAAAAGATGTTTGGTTGTGATAGATAAAAAAAAAAAATCAGCTTAATTTATGGGTAACTATATTTGGCATCTCTATAAAATTTCTTGCAGGAAGGCTTGCAACTTGATTTTCTTTTAGCTTGGTTTTATTTGTAAAAAAATATTGCAAATATTTTTCCCTAGGGGAGGTGGGAGAGTTTCATATTTAACACATCTTTTTACAAGACTATCCTTTCATTAACTTCAAATATAGGGGTAAGGCTAGATTGTTGTCTCCCCTAGCATAAGGAAAATAATTCACGGATTCATTTTTCTATGCCAGGTTACCTTTGTGAGAATGAAGGTTTTAACTGAACTTGGAGCAACCTGTAGTGAAATACCTTAAGCTGTTTAATTGTAAGGCGTGGAATAGGAGTCACTCAGTGGATTGGTTGTATGTTGTGGACTATCTAAGTCTGCATTTGTTACTGTGCTAATAAAAATATGTACAAACCCCGTACTGATATACCTTCTGTTTGGAATACATCTATGTTGGCTGTGTGTAACACAGCGGTCCCCAACCTTTTTGGCTCTAGGGATTGGTTTTGGAAGAAAATTGTCATCCATTGGGGGACGGGATTGCATGCACAACCTAAATCCCATGTATGCGCAGAAGTCTCACTCACTCTCCCATTGCTTGCACGTCCTGGTTCAGTACTGGTCCACAATCTGGGGATTGGGGACCCCTGATATAACAGACAATATAATCTATTCCTGATAAAAGAATCATACAAAAAATAAATACTTTTCAGGTCACAGAACAAAAAGTTACATGAGAAGACTTTAACGGGTTATGAAATTAAATCCTGAGCCAGAAAGCAGATTTACATATTTTTCCAACTATCTGTTAATATTTTTGCAGTGACTTTTATCAAAAGATTGGATCTTCTCCTAAGTACTTAAACCTGGAGTTTCCCTAGCAGTTTAACATTAGAGCAATTTATTTGTGGTTTCAGGCCATTGTTGCTTGACATATTTGGAAGGGGAAGGGGAATAGCTTTTCCTTTTTCTTGGCATCCATTTATAGTAAAGTGCTAACATATTTAATATCTCTTTCAAAAAAGTTCCTTTTCTCTTTTAATAGCTCTCAAAATATTATCTGAAATGAATATAATTCAATTTTGCTTTCAATCAATAGTAATTGAAGCACAACAATTCACTAGTGGCCCAGAATAAATAGTTACATAAAATTCACGTTAACGGTCCTTGTTATGATGCTTTAAACACTATCATTCTGCAAAATGCACTGAAGGACAGTTTATGAGTACAATGTATAAACAGATGAGAGTCACTTAAATGTGCAATATAAATAGAATAAAGTCAGAATCTGTATTTCAATCTGTAATTTAATACCTAGATATTTCACCCATGCTATTTTTGTTACATTCTCAAAAGCTGCATTTAAATTCGAAAAATGTGTTTCAAATATATCACATTAGGCCTTAAAGTACTTTATTCCTAGATGGAAAGAAAAGAATCTGATCAATTTCTCTACTATACATTTCTCTACTGTACATTACTGTACATCTCTACTGTACATTTTGGGAAATTTCAGTCCAATAATTACTTATTTTCTAACTGATTTTTGCATCCTTCAGCATTGTAATGAAAATTGTGAAAATATAAATCTAACCGCAGATTCCAAGTAGAAGTCATTGAGAACTTCTGTTATGTTGTGATGATATAAACCACCGTAACAACCCTAGAATAGATTTTTTGAATTCTCCAATCTAGCACTGTCTTGATTTATTGGGGACTACAGTTCTTAAAACAATTGAAGAGGTAGGTTGCTTAGACCTAAAACTGGATGGAGCAATCCTTTCCCCTAGTAATGCTCTTTTTTTTTTCCTGTACAGAATTAATAAATTACTACTGGCTGATTTCTCCCAATATGTTAAGCCATAAATCAGAGTTTATGGAATAAATAGGTCAAACAACACGCCAAGCCAGAATCAAATACTCTAACATAGTCCTGCATTTTCCAATCAAAGTTTGATTTGATGAAGATTTATATATATTGGAAAGTTCCAGGAATTACAAATCCACACTTCTTAAAGTTCCTGAGATTGGGAAGTACTGTTACAGCCATTTAAATAAACCAAGTTACTATCTTTTTCTGATGCTGTTTTTTTTTTCAGGAGGCTGCTGTCACTGCACAGGGACAGATATTAGTGGGTTTTTGAAATTGGGGAATGGTGTCAAAATTTTCCCCATTCGTATATGAAGTGATTGGAAATTATTTTTTCTTTCTTTGGCCCAATTTTTATCAATACTAGAGATCACTGTTTTACCCTACCTAAGATGAATGTTTGCTTGATGATAATCAATAGAAATAACACTGATTCATCCAAAAGCATCGGTGCTAATAGTATTAGTACACTTTTTAATAAAGGTAGTAAAGGTCAAATGCTTATACTGTACCCAATTCTGTTAGCCTCTCTTTTTCCTAAGTTATTTCTCGTAGCACAATGAAAGCTATACAATACATAATCAAAATAAACAACTTTTTTACCTTGTTCTTTCATTTCTTTTCTGAAATGTTAATTGAAGTGGCAATATTCCCAATGACTCTAGAATGCCCCCTTTAGAAAAAGGCGGCTTTTTTCTGCACTCAAGCATTCTCCAGTTTGCATTCCACAAAACAGACTACTATGATTATTTCAGTGTTTTTTGAAGTTATTTCAGATGCCGTTCTCATCCTGATGTGCGAGATCTGCTTTAGTTGTTCTAGAAATGAACAACTCTAGAAATGCAAAAGCCACAGCAGATTCTTGGCCCAGTGGAGGCATAAGAGCATTCAGTAATCTTCCTTATTGTATTTGAGTTTCCGATGGGAGAAAGAAAATGTTGACTTGTTCTGTGATTGGTAAAGTTTGCTTGCTAACACAACAAAGGGCTCCATCATTGTCCTTCTATCCATGACTGTCACTTCCCATAATTTCACTGTCTCAATCCTAGCCCACTGTTGTGCAACTTCATTCTGTACTTGTCTTTCCTCCAAAAGGTCAGTTTTATTACCTAAAACAATAATTGGCCACTGCAAAGAAGGAATAAAACAAACAAAACAGGAAATAAGCTCAGTGATGTAAAACTTATTTTGTACCAGTTTCGAAATATAGAATACCTTATTGGGAGGGGGAAAGAGACTGGAATACACTTTTCCCTGCAATTTAGACAGCTGCTATCATTCCAAGTAGACCATGAAAAATTCAAATAGATCCATGAATTGAATAAATAATCTTTTAGCTGCTTGGCTATTTTCCGTAATGTTTATTTTTTTTTTTCAATTTTATGATCTAGTAATTGAATAGTTACATTTAAAGTAGATGCACTAAAATTGACTTGGTAATCACCAAATCTGACTCCATTTCCTGTATTTTATTACTGTTATTTACATTTAAATAAATAAATTTTATTTAAATAAATATTTACATTTATATCTCCATATATTTTTTAAAACTATTTGTTCTTATAAACAAGGTAACACCTATTCTGCTCCTCTGACCAAATAAAACAATAGAACAATTACTATACAAGCAATAAAATATATTCTAAAATGATGGCCACTATTACTATAGATCAGAATTTAGGAGTTTAGTTTTTCAAAATACTTGAAAAACACCGCTTTTAAAAACAGTCAGAGCTAGGCTTAATTAAATGTAAAACAATTCCATTAGATTCAAAATGTTTCAAATGAATAACTTGGTATCATTAATTTTAATATATTTATTTGAACCATGATTATATCTGAATACTGCAGAGATATGGAATTTACAGCTCTTGAGATATGCTGAACTGCAATATTCAGTATTGCCAATGAGAAAAGATGCTAGAAGCTCTAGTTCCCCCACCCGATTCAACAGAAGTAGACCTCACTGCTATGCTCCCGAATAATGACTATGCAAACTAATATTTCTATTATATAGGCCATCATTTGAGAAAAACCAGAAGCACCTGCAAGTAAACAAAAATCAATTATTGCCAGATAAATACCATAGTAATGAATATTGTTTCTTTTTCCAAAGGAAAAATGCTATAAATCAACAGGATTATTCAAACACACAGCTCCACATTCAGTGCACACATAATGTACCTGAGTGAATGGGCTTATATACATTCAGTTCTTTTTTAGAGTATGATTCTAAAGTTCTTTTCTGGACACATTTGGTAGAATGTTTGCTGCCAATATTTAAATATGTATTTTGGTTGCCTTTAGAAATATGTGGGACATGGTGGCTCAATGGCTAAGACGATTAACTTGTCAATCGAAAGGTCGGCAGTTCAAATCCCTAATGCCACGTAATGGGGTGAGCTCCTGTTACTTGTCCCAGCTTCTCCCAACCTAGCAGTTCGAAAGCACATAAAAATGCAAGTAGAAAAATAGGGGCCACCTTTGGTGGGAAGGCAACAGCATTCTGTGCACCTTTGGCGTTTACTCATGCCGGCCACATAGTTTCTTAGACTAGAACCTATTTTGAATTCTAGTCCCTTCCAAGGCACGAAAGCAGACTGGGTGACTGAGTCAGACACTCTCCCTCAGGAATATTAGGTATGCTCATTACCTTATTTATGAAAATAATAAAGAGGAGGTTAAAAACTTACTACCAGTATTGTCAGAGAATTTATTCCAATGTTAGGTGGAAATGCTGTAATGAGGTTCTATTAAAGAACACTTGAATGCTTCAGATATTTCTCTTTTCACAAGACATGCAGATTTTGAATGCTGGCTCACCTAGAGCACTTCACAACTTCTTGGAGATACTATTTTTGTTGAGATGTTGAATGGAACAATACTTTCCCTCAAAATGAAGATTAAAGAATTGGGTGGCTGCTGTTAAATTTTGGTGCATAGTGTCTATACCATCTTATTTGAGTAGACAATTATTGAGCTTTGGTATACAATGCTATACTCTTATTACACTACAATATCAGAATGATGGGGGTTAACAATAACTTTTCACAATTCACTTCCTTGTATTGAAAATTCCTTCCTTACGGTTAATGTTTACAAGGATATACTATTAGATTTAGATTTAGTTTTACCTGACTTCTTTATTTTAATGGATCTCCACCGTCGCCACCCATCGTCACTGCCACCTATTGCCGCCTTCATGTGCCCCATTTTCGGCCTCTGTGCGCCCCATTTTTGGCCCATTCCAGGTGGTGAGGATAGGTGGCAGCGGAGATCCCCACCACCTGGAAGAAGCCGAAAATAGGGCACACGGAGGCGATAAGCTGCAGCACGATGGCGGCAATGGGCGGTGGCGATCCCCGCAGCATGGAACAGTTGATAGGCGGTATTCCAAGAACCTGTCCAACCGCCAATCAGCTGCTCGTGCTAAATCAGGAAGTGCTGAAGCTGACCAGACTGTTTGCTCAAGAAGGCAAATTACTGGGAAGCAGAGGCAGATTTTTTTTCTTGTTTTCTTCCCCAATAGCTACAGTTGCAAGAAAAAGTATGTGAGCCCCTTGGGATTACATGGAGTTTTGCATGAATTGGTCATAAAATGTGCTCTGAACTTCATCTAAGTCACAACAATAGAAAAACACAGTCTGCTTAAAATAATACTACACAAACATTAGATGTTGCCATGATTTAATTGAACATAACATGTAAGCATTCACAGTGCAGGGAGGAAAAAGTATGTGAGCCCCTAGCCTAGTGACTTCTCCAAGAGTTAATTGGAGCCAGGAGTGAGTCAACCTTGACTCCAATCAGTGTGAAGATATTGGATTTGTTGCTGACAGCTATCCTGCCCTTTAAAAACACCCACCTGTTTTGGGGTTACTGGTTTCAAGAAGCACTGTCTGATGTGAACCATGCCTCGCAGAAAAGAGCTCTCAGAAGACCTACAATCAAGAATTGTTGACTTGCATGAAGCTCGAAAGGGTTACAAAAGCCTTGATGTTCATGTGTCCATGGTAAGACAGACTGTCTACAAATGGAGAAAGTTTAGCACTGTTGCTACTCTCCCTAGGCGTGGTCGTCCTGTAAAAATGACTGCAAGAGCACAGCGCAGAATGCTTCATGAGGTAAAGAAGAATCCTAGAGTGTCAGCTAAAGACTTACAGAAATCTCTGACACATGCTAACATTTTTGTTGAAACATCTACAATAAGGAAAACATTAAATAAGAATGGAGTACATGGGGGGACACCACAGAGGAAGCCATTGCTGTCCAAAAAAAATATTGCAGCACGTTTGAAGTTTGCAAAAGAGCATCTGGATGTTCCACAGCACTACTGGCAAAATATACTGTGGACAGATGAAACCAAAATTGAGTTGTTTGGGAAGAACACACAACACTATGTGTGGAGAAAAAAAGGCACAGCACACCAACATCAAAACCTCATCCCCACTATAAAACATGGCGGAGGGAGCATCATGGTTTGGGGCTGCTTTGCTGCCTCAGGTCCTGGACAGATTGTTGTCATTGATGGGAAAATGAATTCCAAAGTTTATCAAGACATTTTGCAGGAAAACGTATGACCATCTGTCCGCCAACTGAAGCTCCGCAGAGGATGGGTGATGCAACAGGACAATGACCCAAAGCATACAAGTAATTCAATAAAAAAATGGCTTCAACAGCACAGAATACACCTTCTGGAGTGGCCCAGTCAGAGTCCTGACCTCAACCCGATTGAAATGCTGTGGCATGACCTTAAGAGAGCGATTCACACCAGACATCCCAAGAATATTGTTACACTGAAACAGTTTTGTGAAGAGTGGTCCAAAATTACTCCAGATCTTTGTGCAGGTCTGATCTGTAACTATGTTTGGTTGAGGTTATTGCTGCCAAAGGAGGGTAAACCAGTTATTAAGTCCAAAGGTTCACATACTTTTTCCTCCCTGCACTGTGAATGTTTACATGTTATGCTCAATTAAACCATGGCAACATCTAATGTTTGTGTAGTATTATTTTAAGCAGACTTTGTTTTTCTATTGTTGTGACTTAGATGAAGTTCAGAGCACATTTTATGACCAATTCATGCAAAACTTCACGTAATCCCAAGGGGTTCACATACTTTTTCTTGCAACTGTAGGTGCATCTTATAGTCCAGAGGATCTTACAGTCTGAAAAATATGGTACATTTCCTCTGTGGCAATAGAAAAAAGAAAAGATTTTTTTAAAAAAAGCCTTTTCTCTCAGTACAAGGTGAATCAATTATATGCCACTTTAAAAATATTGGATGGTCAGATTTCTTGACAGTAATATCAAGGTAGTATTTGATAAAATAAGCTGTAGTCAGGTACTATGACAACCATTTATATAATAAAGTTAAGAAACAAGTTTAGTAACAAAAAGTACACTTGCTAAGTTGTAGTAAGAATCTATTGTCCTTTTATTTATTTTCACATTTTGATGCAGCCAGTGGTTTAAAACATAAAATTGCTCCAGTCCAGAGACTAGGACTCCTCAACCACAATTTTGGTCATATGTTCAGCAAAACTACCAAATTATCTGTTGCAAGAAGCAAATTTATTTACTTAACGTATTATTACTTTTTAACTAACTGGGCATTATTAATAGCCACAATGACAAACATAGAAAAATACAGAAACCAAAGTAAACTTAAAATTATTAAAATATGGAAAAGAAAAAAATAGCATCTTGTCTTCTAGTCTGAAAATGATATCAGATGCAACTCTCTAGAACAGGGCTGTCAAACTCGCAGCCCTGGGCCGGATGCGTCACACTCTAGCACACAGCGTTTAGCAAAGGAGAAAAAGGTCCCAATATGTCATGTGATGCCGCCATGACACTGCAAGTTTGACACCCCTGCTCTGGAGGAAAGGGCTAAAATTTGTCCTTTTTATTTCCAAAAAAGCCGGTCAATACTGTTATAATTTTCTTATAAGGACTATACATAGACACTCATAGAACTTATTTGCAGTAAGTCCTTGCCAAGTTTCTATATCCAATAGCTCTAGCCTTACCTGAAACAATTAACTCTAGAGAAATTAAGAGCCTCCCCATCTGTTTTTCCTTTTCTTATCTTCACCCCAATTCACAAACTATACTATTCCTATTTATTTATTGAGTAGGACCATATATTTCCACCAAATATATGTCAAGATGGTTATGTACCAGGATGGATTTGATTTAAATCAAGTCGATTTAAATCATGATTTAAGTCATGATTTAAATCACTAGTAGAAAGGCTTGATTTAAATCACTCAATTTAAATCATAATTTTTAAAGAGCAACTGTCACTTCTATCCCACAGCAGCTCCTCCTGATCTGCTGTTGAATCACTGACAGTCCCAATATTGCAGAATATACAGCCTCATGCTACATAACTAAGCTCCATTTCATGCTGAATAAACTAAATTATTAATGTATTAAATAGAAAACTATCTTTAGATAGATTTTTACTCCAAAAGCATTTTATTAAAATAAATTCGATAAAAATTAAAAAAAAACCGATTAAAAAAAAACCTATTAATTTTTTTTAAAAAAACAACTTCTATTTTTATCCACCCTGTTGTGTATACAGCAGTGTAGGTCTGCATAGACAACAGAAAAAAGCAAGACAAATATAGTCCAAATGCCACATGCGCTGTATTATTTCAGATTACAGTATTACAAAGCTACCGTATTTTTGGGATTATAAAACTCACCTGACTATAAAATGCACCTAAATTTAGAAGAGGAAAACGACACACACACAAAAAAAGAATTTAGCTTCTGCATGCCCCATTTTCAGCCCTCTTTTTGCCCTTTTCCAGCCTTTTTTCAGGCCATTTTCAGGGATTTTTTCAGCCCGTTTTCTAGGGGTTTTTTGGTCCGTTTTCGAGGCATTTTTTGGCTCATTTTTTCAGAAAAAAACAGACCAAAAATAGCCACAAAAATGGGCTTTAAGTTGTTCAATTACCATTATACAGGGATGGAGCTGTAACAGGCAACATAGTAACAAGCAGATATTGATTGTCTCACTCTTTTGTCCCAGCCAGCTTAGGTGATAACAAGTGCCTAGGGAAATTATAATTTAAAATATTTGGAGAGTATCAAACTCTTTGAACAGACTGAGTGAGGAGGAGAAACAACAGTTAGCAGCAACTTGTTTCTTATTTAGGACTGATGAATAAAAGGGGAATTAGACTAGGTAAACTTTTACCTTTTCTGACAGAGGTGGATCCTACAAATTAAAAAAAATGTTGACTGGCTCTCAAGCCACCATAACTATAGATTTGATGTTAAACACAAACAGAAATTAACAGATCTGTTACAGAACACTGAAAATCTACTGTCTTTTTACAGTAGGCTCCCAAGACAGAATTAAAACCATACAGGTAATCCTCGACTTACAACCACAATTGAGCCCAAATGCTCTGTTGCTAAGTGAGACATTTGTTAAGTGAATTTTGCCCCATTTTATGACCTTTCTTGCCACAGTTAAGTGAACTGTTTAGTCACATAGTTAAGTGAATTTGGTTTTCTCATTAACTCTGCTTGTGAGAAGGTCACATGACCCTAACACTGCAACCCTTAAAAATATTATCCAGTTGCCAAGCATCTAAATTTTGGTCACATGACCATAGGGATGCTGCAATGGTCATAATTGTGAAAAACTGTCATAATCACTTTTTTCAGTATCACTGTAACTTTAAAATCTCACTAAACAAATGGTTGTAAATTGAGGACTACTGTATACCTTTTAAATAATTTACTACTGTAATGCTACCTTCAGCTCATGAGATCAGCAAGCCCAAAGTATTTCACAAATATTTCCGTTGAAATACCTAATGCTATGCAACTGTACCCACCTGAAAACTTGTTTTAGATGGTCCCAGATTAAGGTTTTCTGCCTGTATTTTGTCAAAAACATCTAATCCCACTAGGAAATCAATTATCTACAATTTATTAAAAGTAAGTACAGAGTGCCCTGGGTGTGTGAAATTATTCAGTGAGGCAAGATATAGAATCCTAGTAGCTAATACTTAGGGCACTTTCAACTTAAAGACTCATATAGAAATACCCCAAATTATGATTTTGTCTAAATCAAATTGCCTCTTATGACAAGCTGTAGGACTAGGTCTCAAATCCATTTCCAATAGTAATACGAATCCAATCTTTTTCTTCTGAGGGAGACTCTTCTAAAGAAGTTGAGAGACAGAAGGGCCAGGAAAGAAGAGAAAAGAAAAGAAAAGAAAACCTGTTGAGTAAGGAGAAATCTACTCGGACAATAATTATGTTTTCCGGGCCAAGCAACTCTTTATAATGAGATTCCCTTTCTTTCACCTTCAACCCATAATCCCTGATACATTCAAAATTGTGTGATGACTAATAAGCAGCCTAGAAATTGTGGAAGAAATAATAATAATATTTCACATAGACTGAAAAAATAAAAGAAATAGTCTTACCTCTTTCTTTTCTCTAAACTTGCCAATCTCCTTTTTGAGCCACTTAACTTTCTCAAAAGATTCCAGACTATTTACAGCATACACTAGAACAAAGCCATCTGCCATAGAATAGTAATGTTTGGAGAAATCCTCTTCTCCTTGTAGTCCTTGGGTGTCATACAGACGTAATTGTTCTTTTAGTCCTCGATCCGTTTCAGCCACAGCAACATATACATCTTCCATAGTTCTGCTGCACTCTTCACCTATTTTTGTTTAAAATAAAGAGCAAAACCATTTTGCTCTTGGGGACATAACATAATACTCATTTATGTTTTCCACAAACCAGCTTGGTTGAGGAAAATGCATACAAGAGATATCTAATTGTTCTTGAGATCTTAGTTTGCCTTTTGTGAAAAATGTAATTAACCTATATTGGCCAATGCAAATACGGCACATGGATCATTTTATATCTATTATCATCTGGCAGAGTTTATTAACTATTAAAGTGGCATTAAAATTATAACATTAGTTAGACAAAAATAAAAAATAAGACATTTTTCTTACCAGTAGTGTGATTACCGTACAGAACTTGTTCCAAGATGGCCGTCTTTCCCACTGAACGCATTCCACACACCAACACTTTGAAGCCTTTTCCCATCTTCTTTCAGACTACTACCGGTAGAAATCCAAAACCTATAGGACACCCAGAATGGTAGTTATTTTTCTCATTTCATAGATTGTTTAAAGAGAAAATATGCTATTGCTATTTATAACTGAAGTGAGAGGCAATCATTTTTAAAACTACAACAAAAACCCTCCTAAGAAATTTCTCCGTATTTTCTCCGTATTTCTGGAGTGTCTAGCAAAGGCTTCTAGAACTATTTTTTTATTTACAAAAAAATAAGCTCCTTTGCACAAAGTTAATGAAACTGGAAGTTATTTTTTTTAAAAAAGAGAAATACATAAAAGGATTTTAAATATGAAAGAATTATTCTGTATTCGAAATTTCTTTAATATAATGAGCTTCGAATTCTGGAGTGAAATTGGAATTTAATTAAAAATAAGAACTCAGCCATGACCTTCCCATCAGCCCCATTTCATAGATCGTATGAAATAATCAACACGAAGGTGTATATCTAAAGCATTCTATCATTAGTAATTAAAACAACCCTAAAGTGTGATTAAGGAAAATCTTTTCTAGGGTAATTTCCATGGCTAGATGCCTTTAAATGAACATAACTGGCAGAGAGCGGCTAGCCAAAAGTCACAGGGATCAGTTCCATCCAATAGCACAAAAATCCACGCTCTTTTAACATGTGTTCCCCATGAACTACATTTCCCAGCAAGCACCTGATCACCGAGTCTTTCCTTCCCTCCTCTATTGCAAAGCATTTTGGGAGAGAGGCCTTTTCCTTTCCGTCTTCGAGCGCCTTCTGGTAAGGTTCCATGGGTTCTTTCTGCGGACGATGTATCCAATGTCATCCTGCAGTTTGGAAGGTCTTTCCACCCATTTGGTGCAGATTCTTATAGATCGGGGAGAGAGGATGATTATGTTTTTTTTCAGCTGTGGAAGAAAAAAGGATTTAGGGTCTGGTTGGCAGATTGGCCTCTAGAGCCTTATGCTACCGGGCGAGATAATCATGGAGGATAAGAATGCAAATGAAAAGAATCGTTGAAATGCTGAGTTCCTTTGGCATCGGGTCTTTTCTTACAGCTCAGAATTATGGTGAAAATCCCTTATTTAGGTCTTCGCATTATTTATATTAAAATTTAATCCATCTAAAGAGCTAAATAAGGGAAACGTGAATAACGAAGCACGTGAAAGATGGAAGATAGAAAAGAAACGTCTTTGAATATTACGGTGACATGGGGGAAAAAGTTAAAAAGAGATAGAAGAGGGGAATAATATATATATATTAATATAACAAGATATATGTAGTAAGATGGAGGTCTAGAAATTGAAGGGTGGTACTATTTGGTATGTTTAAACAATATGAAATAATGAAAATGAAATTAATAACTATGAGTAATAATAAGTATTTGTATCAAAATGTATGATACCCAGGTATCATACTATTCACGCATTGATATGTATAAATAATATAAAATAAAAAAACTTGGTGGGAAGAATTACGGTGAAAATCGAAGTATGGCAGCTCAAGCACTCAAACCTCTATTGGGGGAAGGAACTCTGAGGAAGTAGAACAGATTCATTTATTGATTTATACATACGCACTCTTCCTCCTATTGTGTCCACAACAACAACCCTGTGGAGTGAAGCGAGCTAATAAGAGAGTGATTGGCACAAAGTCACCCAACTGACTTTAATGGCTAAGGTTGGATTTGAGCTGAAGGTTTTCCTGCTTTTTAGCCTGGTGCCTTAACCACTAGTCTCTCCTGCGCAAAGCCTCAGTGTCAATCAGTGATTTTCTATTCAAATCTGATTGATGATCAAAAGGAGGGCAGTGTTGTGAGTCAATGAGAATAAAAAATAGAAATGAAATAGAAAATAAAGAATAACTTGCAAATTGGCAGATTCCTTTTAAGGCTTTCTTTTTTACATAATAAATGATATAAAATATTCTGTTTTAGATAGTTGCTGTCATAGATTATCCAAGTTCATTGGCTTGTTACAAAGCAACATGTGTTTTTGACTAAAGCTAAAACCTATAAAATTTGAGGAAAAAATGCTACCTAATATTGGTAAAACATACATCTTTATACGATACACATATATTCATTCATGCATGTTTTTGAGTGTATGGTGTGTATATATAATGAGCAATAACAGTTTAAAATTGTATCATGGACATCTGGTTTCAGAAGCTGATGAAAGGAAGCAAAAGTTAGAACCTGCTTTTTGTTTGACATGTAAAATATGTTTATCTGTGAAACTGAAGTTAAAATTGCTTTTATGAGTGTGCCTTCTTACCAGCACATTAGCAGAAAAAGAAACCTGAATAATGGCATATTTTTTATGGATTTACTTAATCAGTTTTAGGGAATTTATTTTTAGATACTGGAGAGCATTGTTCTTTTAAGAGTCCCTTTTAATATATACCTGTTACTACAGAAATATGTAGCAATATGATGTAACATAATTCTGCATTTTCTTTAGTAGGTAAGTCATAATGGGTGCCTACAAGTATATCCAAGAACTATGGAGGAAGAAGCAATCTGATGTGATGCGTTTTCTTCTGCGTGTCCGTTGCTGGCAATATCGTCAGTTATCAGCACTTCATCGAGCTCCTCGCCCAACCAGACCAGACAAAGCCCGCAGGCTGGGATATAAAGCCAAGCAAGGTAAAGGGAACATTTAAAAAGTTTTTTTTGCTCTATGTTTGTTTGCATGCTTATTATATATATGGAGAAAAAAACTGATCTGATATAGTGCTCACTAGGGATTTTTACTATAAATTAACTGGAACCTAAATATACATCCAAAGAGGATAAATTGCAGGAAACATATGAAAAGTCAAGTTGATGGAAAGCTGACATAAGGCAACAAATCTTAACAATTTTGTCTTATGTTATGTGAATCTAATTAGTGTCTTCTTTTTGTTGTTGCTGTAAATTATCTCAGATTAACAAAATGGGCATATGTGGCTCAAAAATACAGAATGGCCAGGTAGTTTGGACAAAGTTTAAGATGCTAATAGAATTAGAGCAGAAGAGAAGAATTACAGAATTGGAAGGGACCTTTGAGGTCTTCTAGTCCAACCCCTTGCTCAGGCAGGAAACTACCATTTCAGACAAATGGCTGTCCAATCTCTTCTTAAAAACTTCCAGCGTTGGAGAATTCACAACTTCTGGAGGCAAGTCATTCCACTGATTAATTGTTCTAACTGTCAGGAAATTTCTTAGTTCTAGGTTGCTTCTCTCCTTGATTAGTTTCCATCCATTGCTTCTTGTTCTGTCCTTAGGTGCTTTAGAGAATAGCTTGATTCCCTCCTCTTTGTGGCAACTACTGAGATATCAGAACACTGCTATCATGTGAAAACCCCTCACCCCAGTCCTTTTCATTAAAAAGAAGACTAGGGGTGACATGATAGCAGTTAAAATGCTATTTGTTTCTGTTATAGGTTATGTCATCTATCGCATCCGAGTTCGTCGTGGTGGTCGTAAACGTCCAGTTCCTAAGGGTGCTACTTATGGAAAGCCTGTGCATCATGGTGTGAACCAATTAAAATTTGCCCGGAGTCTGCAATCTGTAGCAGAAGTAAGGAAACCTTGAGAAGAAGCTTGAGAAATTTTATTATAGCATAATAAATACATAATTATGAATTACATTATGGTAATATTACAATATAATTTTGTCCAACATGTATTAAACTAGTAAGCTTAACTAATGAAAATATTCCTCACTGAGTAATAGTGATGGTGTAGTGTTTCTACTATTAGGTGGAATGTGTATTTTGTTTGTAAACAATGCTATGATAAATAACTATAATCTTCATTTACATGGAGACATTGTTTCTGTGTAAATACAACTGGATCTATAGAGCAGTACAGAAACAAATTGGAAATAAGATTACAAACTGATTTAATTAATTATTCTTGGTGGGTTGAATTAGATTTTAAGGATTATCCGTATTCCTTATTTTTTCTGGGAGATTAGTTAATTCAAATGCTATATTATCATAGCTCACATGACAACTCGCCTTTTGCCACTCAGTTTGGATCAACATCCATGCATAGTATATTCATGAAAATTTTCATACAGAAAAGAGTGCTGGTAATGCAGAGTTTTGGCTCATGGGGAAACCATTATATTCTGAATTATACAGAAAACCACATCAACCAAATGAATGTTTGAAGGACACTGACATTATTTGAGTAGAATTGGTTGGGAATAATAGTTTACTAATGAAAATAGTTAATGTCTAAAGCAGTGAGTAAAGCAACTGTTCTAAGCATGTACTTGTGGAATCAAAACATCCAGAGCTAGAAAAATATGAGAGATAGCCACTGAGGAAAATGAAATACTTATATGTAAAGAAGGGAAATATTAAATTACTTGTAAGCACTTTAGTATTTATATACTTATTTCTTTTGTATCATGTTTCTCAATCTGATTTCACCTGTATAATATATATAGGTTTAGATACAGATACTTTTATTTAAACTATTTTATTTTCTAGGAACGTGCTGGCCGACACTGTGGAGCTTTGAGAGTGCTGAATTCTTACTGGGTGGGTGAGGATTCCACATACAAATTCTTTGAAGTCATTCTGATTGATCCATTCCACAAAGCTATCAGGCGCAATCCAGATACCCAATGGATCACCAAACCAGTTCACAAACACAGAGAGATGCGTGGGCTGACCTCTGCTGGAAGAAAGAGCCGTGGCCTTGGCAAGGGCCACAAGTTCCATCACACAATTGGTGGATCACGCCGTGCTGCCTGGAGACGACATAACACTTTGCAGCTTCATCGTTATCGCTGATAATGATTCTAAATTTATCACAATAAAAAGTCATCCAGAGGTTTTACATTTCCATTGTATTGTGTGGTCATTGAAGTGAAATTGGGATAAACAGGTTGAATGAAAGGGTTCTCAATGCAGCTTCTCATCTATAAACATGTGACTAGAATATGCAGCAGAAACTCATGTTTATCATAATAAACCAATTCAAATTATTTTGATTCTAAATTTTGAAAAAAGTTAAAAATAAAATTTGCACCAGAACTGGGGGAAGATGCTGTGTAAGCAAACACCAAATTTTGGAATTTTAGTTTAAATTATTCCAAAAATGATTTAATGAAGATTGATATAAATTTACTTTATTAGAGGTTAGGCTCTATTTTATAATTATAATTTATATAAATTGTGATACGTTATCAAGTAAAATGACTGGATATCCTATGTTCACAGTATGCTACTTTGTTAGCTGTAAATAGACATTAAAAATTGTTAGTCAAAAGTTTCATAATAAGCCTACATGTTTAAAATAAGACTGATCACTTATTCCTAAACCAATAATTCATGTTTAAACTTTCATAGTCACAGTTGCAGTCAGAAAATGATGAATCCCTTTATATACAGGTAGTCCTCAACTTACGACCACAATTGAGCCCAAAATGTATGTTAAGTGAAATTTATCCCATTTTATGATCTTTCTTGCTACAGTTATTAAATCAATCACTGCAGTTAAATTAGTGACATAGTTGTTAAGTGAATCTGGCTTTCCCATTGACTGCTTGCCAGAAGGATACAAAATGTGATGATCCCAGGATACTGCATCAT